TTTTATCTTAGTCACACATACTCAAAATTGAAGGAAATCTTTCTGCTAGGTCAGGCTATAACTGGTATTTAAGTCTACCCACTCCATTTTTTTCATTAAGGTTAGTGTAGGCTGGGATATCAAATTATTCTTTTCTTAATTTAACAGAAAATAGATTTTTAAAAATATAAATATGAAATCACATAAATGTTAAAATATTAGTGAAAATCTCACTTAAAACAATATACAGTTGTACTGTAGAGTTGAGTGTTTCTCGTACTCTAACAAGAAAGTTGTACAACAATTTTTATTTATGTTGCCTAATTATCCTCTGGGCACTCCACTTTAAAATAAAAACCTACATCCCAGAATTCATTAGATGGCGTGATTCAAGCATTTATCTTTTGGTTGACAGTTTAAGATTTAAACTACAATCTAACATTTTTTTCTCAGTGTTTCATTCTGTCTTTGTTGTAACATTTTGTTACGAAAGGGAATATTTGGACTATAGATGAGAAATAATTTCAACTTAAGAAACATTTATATTTTTTCCAGTTTTATTAAGATATAATTTGACATATAGCACTGGATACGTTTAAGAGAAACATTTATATTTTAACTTGCGTGTCACCAATGAAGAGTTTAGGTCAGCCTGTGACAGCAGAAACGAAATATAATTCATTCTAATAGATGTCTTTAGGTGATAGAAATTTTCATTTTTCAATAAAGACACTTTTATTAGAGCTAAGCAGTAGAGTAGAAACAGTAGAATCTAAATGATAATACACCTCACCCATTTGTAAAGATTTCTATTTTTATTTATCTTTTCTAATTTACCTTTTTTTTTCTTCTTGAAAGGACACTTTTAGTAGACAATGAAAAAACAGCAGGGAGTAAAATTTTGATACTATCATTACATAGAAGGGTTTTCTGATTATAGAAGTTCTCTATTATCAGTGTTAAAATGCTTTTTATTATGTGCATGTCTTTGAAAATTATGTTAATAATTTGTAGAAGATCTAAAGTCTCATTAGGGACTGGACACAAAGGAATGGATAATTAGTTGGTGACCCACAGGAGGCTTCTGTCTTGATGGAATTGGAGCAATTTAGCCCAAGGAAAGATATCAAAATTAAAATCCATTATGTAACATTCTAGGCATTTTAAAAAAATTGGATAAGGTACTGGTAAACCACACCAGGACATAAAAAGTGGCTTCTTCAAATTAGAGGATGATGCCATTTGTAGTCATATGGCATTATGCTAAATATATGAGGTTAAATTTAAACTAACCAAGTGTGATGGCTTGAAAGAAATAAAATCCATAATTATCTAAATTGATAGAGGACACGATAAAGTTTATAAAAGACACAAATAAAACTGAGTATAGGTATAAACCTTTTTTGTATTCTATCATTTACACTTACATAAGTGAATTGCTGAAAAAAGTCTGTGAAAAAACCAGAGTCCCTGTAAATTAATTCCTTCACCTTTCAAATTCTTGAAACAAATTTACCTTATTTAGTTTACAAAAGAAATAGTTTAAATCTGTAATATATTAAGGCCATACTATGGGCTCATTTCTTTTTTTTTTTTCTGTGTTTGTAACGTAAAACACAAAGAATGTGTAATGTCTTTTTGTAAGAGAATAATCTTTAATGTTTTACAAGTCCGACATCTTTAGATAAATAGTTAGGCTGCTTTGTGGCAACACATTTGATTGCATGGTTCACCATTACCCCGTGTGAATCCTTCCTCATCACAGATGACAGTGCCATTCTTCACATTTCAAAATATTGGAAGTTGTCTTGACTCCTTTCTTTATCTCCCTCCCTCCTCCCCACCCCTGCCACCCTACATCCGTTAGGATATCCTCTTGTTTCTACTTAAAAAATATATACAGAATTCAATCACTTTTCCCATTTTAATGAGCCATCCTCATCTCTCACTTAGATTAAAACAAGGTATTCTTAAATGGTCTCCCTGATTCTCCCCTTGCTCTGCTACACTTTATTTTCTACACAGAGACAAGATGGATCAGTCACTTCATGTCACTGTTCTGGGCAAAATGCTGAAAGAGCTCCCATTTCACTCCTAGTAAAGCTCCAGTTCTTCTAATTATCTACCCTGCCCTCTATGATCTGCCAACTCCTTCCCCCAAGTGTATGTACTTTTCTTCTGCTGTTCTCCTTCATACAAAAAAAGTTCATTTTAAATTTGTTTCAGATAACATGATTTTAAAAATAAATAAAACAACAAAAGCTAATAGAACTAAAAGGAGAAAAACATCCCCAATCATGGCTGCGCATTTAAACACACTTTTCTCAGTACCTCGCAAAAGAAGCAGCAAAAAACAAAATCAATAATAATATAAAAGATTTGAACACTGCACTTAATCAATTTGACCTAATTGACATATATAGAACATCATACTCAGCAGCTGCCAAAGACATTCTTTTCAAGTATACAGTGGATGTTTAACCAAAGAGACCAGATGTTGGGACATAAAACAAACCACAACAAATTCAAAAACAACAAATATAAAGAATTATGTTCCTTTATTATAGTAGAAGTAGCATAGGAAAAACTAGAAAAGTCTCAAATACGTGCAAATTAAGCAACACAATCAAAAATATCAAAGGGGTTGGGGCCGGCCCGGTGGCGCAAGCGGTTGGGTGCGCGCGCTCCGCTGCGGCGGCCCGGGGTTCGCTGGTTCGGATCCCGGGCGCGCACCGACGCACTGCTT